TTCCCTGACCTTTTCAACCGGGCTAACCTGTGGTTGGGCATTCCACCAACCTGGATTTGTTCGTGTGTATGGGAGGTTGTATGCCTCGCGGCCATCAGCTCACTCAATCTCGGTCGCCGTTTGTTGTTTAAGGAAGGTCTCCAGACCAACATGCCTATATCAACGCCATCGCTTAACCGCATTACATACGAGGTTATCTCTGACTTTTGGGCCCGTTTAACTGCTTTTGCGGCACGGGATTACTTGCCAAAACATTGGGATCATGTACCTCACAATCACCCTTTCTTATATGTCAATGACGCAGACATGGTTGCTTGCCGTTTACCGATATACAATGACGAAGTTTGAGGGCGCACGTCGGAGCCTCAATTTTTTGCTTAAGCGTACTAACTGAGGCCGTGTGTCCAGTGAAGTTAGTACGGCCTGGCCGAGTTCTTTTTGAATAAGGCCCACAGTGTTGTGCGGGAGGCGTTCCTATGGGCGCTGCACTCGACCCGTTCGGGGTCCACTGTAACAATCGCATCTTCCTGGAGCACACTTCGGTATAAATGCCAAACATATCCGTTAGCCTTACAAAGCCAACCTACATGCAGTATTTTGCGCCGCGCCAAGCCTTGGAGGACAGTGTTCGGGACGCTGTCGGGGGACGAAGCGGACCACTTGTGGCGACTTATTACAAGTGCAAGCAGCGCTTAAGACCTCAGAGCATCAACAACTGGCAGGGCCAGCCTTGGTTGGTGGGCGAACGGGACGTGATCTGTGAGTAGTAACAACACTGATAGAGGGGTGGACCGACGCGTCCCGCCGCGTTATGAGAGCATCTGCTCTTTTGGCAAACGTCTCTGCCGAAACGCCGAAAGCTGTGGATGCAGTGTTGAATCCAGCGTCTAACCCCTTCAGGGCTGCGTTTAGGACCTGCGCCGCAGCGTTCTGCACTCTGAGCTTGCAGCTGAGAAGGCGCGCTCCAGTTTTCTGAAACCGTCTAGGCTGGCCCTGCCAGTTGTTGATGACCTCTGAGGTCTCAGATATAAGCACTTCTTGCAGTTGTGATGAGTCGTCACAAATGGTCCGCTTCGGCCCCCTGACAGCGTCCCGAACACTGTCCTCCAAGGCTTGGCGCGGCGCAAAATACTGCATGTAGATTGGCTCTGTAAGGTTAACGGATATGTTTGGCAATTATACCGAAGTGTGCTCTAGGAAGCGCAATTGTGTGATTTTAGAGTGGCCAAAGTGCATCAGCTGCCAGAACATGCTTGAATATAAAAACAGTGACGACCAGCCTCACATGCCAAGAAAAAACGAGCTCGTGTTGACGCGTCCGAATGATTACGCACAAAGAACGGTGGGCACACGCACGCACGCACGCACAAACACACACGCACACACACGCACACACACGCACACACACGCACACACACGCACACACACACGCACACACACACGCACACACACGCACACACACACACGCACACTCACACGCACACACACACGCACACACACACACACACACGCACACACACACACGCACACACACACACGCACACACACACACGCACACACACGCACACACACGCACACACACGCACACACACGCACGCACACACGCACGCACACACACACACACACACGCACACACACAACGCCCAGCCCCGGCCACACGCACCCACACGGCGCCCCACACGACGCCCACACGCGCGCCCTTACACGCACTTACGCGCCCTTACGCGCCCTTACGCGCCGCACGCTCCCGCACGAGCCGCACGCCTCCGCACGCGCCGAACGCG